AAATAAATTATAAATATTATTGAATATATGCTTACAGTAACCTTGGCACGTACACTGTCTATGATGTATAATATATGTTTATAATAAAATTAATATGAATAATAAATATCTAGTCCTCATATTTTTTTTTTATCAGAAAAAATTCATAAGATAACAGAGACAACAGAATCTATAGTAAAATGTGAAAATTAGAAATAATTCAAACAATATTTTCAAATTAGTAGTACAGAATAATGAGAAAATTTATATGATTACTTTTCATAATTTTATGCCTCTTATGATATAATAAAAGTAAATAATGAATGAAACTTAAATTATCAATTATAATTATAGAATATAACATTTTTATTATTTTATGAAGAGTTCAATTAACACATATGTCTAAGTTTTTACACAATTAATGATATATCCTTTATCTATATCTGTAATTAATTCCTCTAAATAATACTAATTTAAAAATAAAAAGAAAAAGATACGTAAAATATGTTTTAAGTATTATTATGAAAAATAAATTAATTATTTTGCAATTGAATAAAAATTAACATAATTGATTTCATAAATAATATTCAAACAAAATACACAGTTACACATAAGATTTTAATGCACTAAAAAATTTATAAATAATTTATATATATGTCACAATTTCTGAAAAAGTTTAATTAGTTTTAATTATGTGCATTGCTTGAAACATTAAACAGGGTAACATATAAATGGTGTAATAAACAACAATCCTTTGTTTTATAGTGTGAAAATTATAACAACAATAATAATAAAGAGGAATATGCTTGTTATATATTTCGTATTATATAAATATTTATTAAGTTGTTGTGAATGAAAATATTTACAGAACTCTTTGCTGTCTTAAGAATTCTACTGAACTTAAAAATATAATAAATTGTCACATAATTATGCAAAAGGTACATAATTTTAATACCATTTTTATATTTGTCAGAGTTACCACAAATTCCTTTTTAATGTATTATTATTATATAATTAATTTAATTTATTGTTTAAATTCATTTAATAAAAATTAATAGAATATTTAAAATCATGTTTAAAAATTCACACGGGTAATCAATTATAAGTATATGTTGAATAAGTGATAGTCTTAATAATCACATTTAGGTAAATAAGCAGTTCTATAAACTGAGAGAGGAAGAGAGCTTTAGACATAGAGATGTACCAGGGATAGACTCAATTTTAGTCACAGAAATTGTTACAGTTTTTTTTCTTTTACCTTTACAATATTAATGTTTGCATTCATTTTATATAAAGTTAAAATTAATTTTAATTCACTAGATATATTTTTTATAAAATTAATGTTACATATAACAATGAATGACATACATAAAATAAATTACATTTGTATAAGTATAACACACTTTATATTATTTTTAGTATACAACATTTGTTTAATTATTGCAAACAAGTCTATGTAATTTGAGGAGAATGCTAAAAAAAAAAAAGGATAGTAACAATTTAATGGATTCTTCTGAAAATTGATACAAGAATTCAAATAAGTCTCGAACATATATATAACTCAGTAATATACTAATAATAATATAATAATAGTAAATTAATTAATGTTGTTTTAAAAAATAATTAGCTTTAGTGACATTTTTTATGAAAATAAAATAATTATACTTTGAATATAATTTGCATATAACAATAGTGGTTTTATAAGCATTCCCTTTAGTTTTTACAATATAGGGAGAATAAAAAAAATATAAAATTTTAAATATTTCAATAAAATATGCTATTATTATAATACTTGTATTAAATTAACAATATATGAAAATAAACATACATATATGATATATTATTAATACATATATTAAAAAAAAATGAACTCAGACATAATACAAAGATTGTGTTAATAATATACAATTTGAGAGATGCACTAATTTTTTATTAGAAACAGCAAAAATAATGGGCGATGTATTACATTAAATAAATAAAAAACAATAAACATGCAAGAATAGGAAGATAAATTAAATAATGTCTAGGCCAATAAATTAAATCCTATAAATAAATGTAAAATCTCTATTTTCGTTATTTTATTTTGAATAAATCATAATATATGATAGTTATCGCAATGTTAATGAATTAAAATACTTCTATTCATTGTACATTATTATAAAAATATAAATAAAATAACAATAAAAATGAATTTAGGAGAATTTTATTCATCAATTAGAATAATTCTGAAAATTCTATATTTAATATTTTACAATTCAGCGATAAATTCATATTCATGAAATTTAGCAAAATATATATGTAGCAGATTTTTGATAGGCTAATAAAAATGATGCTAAATAACATTATATTTAAATTTATTATTAAATTAATTAATGATTATAATGTTATAACACACTTATATTTACATTATATAATCATATTATTATTTAGAATTATTTTTTAACAATATGATATATATAATGTATTCTATGCTCATTTATCATATAGATATTAAAAATGAAATAAGTCATACCATATAATAATCTATATAACATTGGTTGTTATATCGTATGTATACGACTACTAGAACATAATATAGGTATACAGTAAAATGTACCTTTTTATATACCAGATTTATAGATAATAACTAGTTCTAACTTAAATAATATCATTAAATTCTCTATAACATAATAATAAATTATATCATAACACAAAAAATTCTTCAAATATAATAATATATATATATATGTACTGGAAAACGCTTTTGTAGTAATTTAAATTAATGATTAACATTAATGTGCAAAATTTTCTTCAATTATTTTGCTAAAAAATCTTGGAGAGTTATGTTTTAATTAAAAAATAAGATTTAATGGTTATCAATAGTATAAATATTTATATATCTGATTTAGATAATTAATAAATTTTTTTTAAAATTTTAGTATTTTATTATTATGAATCCTATTTTTTATTTTGGATCCATTGAAATTATACATATCTATGTTAATTTTTAATAAATATACATATTTCATATTTTAAATATATCCTACTTTATATACATTTACATTGTTAGCAATTACATGTGTTTTGCAAAACATTAATGTGTTAATTATATTGTTAACTTCCTTTCTTTTTTCCTTTTTTTTGGTTTATATTATATTAATTGGGAAAAAATATTAAATACCAATATAATACTTGCAATAGTTAAATATATATGATTTCTCTACAAAGAAAGAATAACATTCATAATGTTTTCAATATTATTTCAAGCAACTAATTTATTGTACATATATTTACAATCAAACAAATTATATTCGAATATTATAATATAATTTTTCTCTAAGAGATAATATTTTGTTCTGTTAGAATTTGTGATAGTTGAAGACACATTGCTTGTGTCTACAAATCAATTACTGTAGTGTAACATAATTTCAGTATATAAGGAAGCTGTATACATTTATTTAATTAATTCTATTTTTGTGTAGTAATATGCTTATTATTCCATTTGAATTAATAAATAAAAATTGGATTTTCATATATTATGGTATTTTACTAGGTATTTTAAACATTCTTTATTATTTATTCATTTTATTATTATATTAATAAAATTGATTTTATTTCGTACAAGAATTAAAATGCTATATTGTGATCATTAATGCAAAAAAAAAATTATCCCTATAACTAAAATTACTCATTTATTAGTTATAGTTAGTTTAACAATATGCTATTTTATACCTATTATCAGTTAAACATTTGTATTCAACATCAAATGAATACACAAAATCCAGATTATTTTTGTTATTTTTATTCAACTTTCTTCTTAAATTCCGTACCTCTGGTTTTAAAAATGAAAAATAAGGGGTATACTAAGGAAAAAATTATATAATATTTTAATATATTGTTCATTTATATTAAATGTATTTATTATAAATATTTCTATGATAAATTATAATACAACATAAATTTATTATATTGATTTTATTTTTAACTTTATACAAAATAAACATAATTATTAATATCGAAAAACTTATAAAAATCATTCCAACACTTATTCCTGTGTCTGTTTCGCCATTTACTGCAGTGCTTATTAAAGCTTGAGATATTGATTCTTTGGTATCCTTTGTTTCTCCATTTGTCCCAGGCCTTATTAAAGCTGGAGCATATAGTGCATTGCTTCCATTGCTTTCTGTATCAGTCCCATTGATTTTCATTCTTCTTTCATTTATCCATTTTTCAGATAAGTAATATAAGGCATGAACTGCAAGTACTTTATCATTCCTCCAAATTTTTCTATAGCTTTCACATATTTGAATAATTTTTTCGAGTTCTGCGTTAAGTTGGCCTTTGTATTTGTTAAGATGATTTTCTAATTTTTCTATCCAAGGTGTAAATTTTTGTACATTTACAGTGGTCCTTTCCCACTTATTATTATTAAAACGATTAATCCATTTATATATTTCATCCAGATATTCCATTATTTTTAATGTATCTCCATGAATATCATAATCATTGGCATATTTGAGGCAAACTTGAGGCACTGATATTCTCTGTACATGTTCATTTTCATTCTTTTTAAAAAACTTCTTGTAACATTCTACTGTATTATTACAGTTACCATTATGTTTGTTTACCAAGTGTTTTAACTTGTAAAAGAAATATTTACAAGATGTTTCTAAGTAAAATTCTTTACCTGAATTATTCTTATCATTTATATAATTTAAATATAAACCTAGTGCTATACAATCAGTCTGAAAATCTTGGCCACCAACATGGCGAGCAGCTATATTATTTTTATAATCAACGCACACCTTCGAATACTCATTATATAAATTTCCTACTGATCGTTTGCTCCATGAATTATCAAAATCATTTCTACAACTGGGAAATATATCAGTTAAATCGAACTAAGGATGAATTTAAGAATATATACAAATATATAAATTAAATTTTTAGGATATATTTTCTTCTATGGTTTCCATTGATATATTTTTTTATAATTATATAGAATAAAATGTAATTATAGCATTATTAAACATACATCGTTTTTCTTAGTCATTAATTCAACCATATGGATTTATATTTGTGATTAAAAGAAATATATCTATAGTTTTATTATATATTTATTTTTATATATATTTAAAATATATTAATATAATAATAGATAACATTTAAACAAAATATACTAAATGATGTAAATAATATTATTTAATAAAATTTACTCAAATATATATTTTTAATTCATTACATATATAAGTTAAATGTTGATGATAATAAATGTTCTGGAAAATAGGAATATATTTTCAAATAAATATATAATGCTAAAAACAATTTTACAATTTTTCAATAATACGTACATATTAAAGTATTATATATATTTTTATAATATAGTTACATATATATAATTTTATATAAAAAATCATTACTTTCAAGAATAAATTAAATAAAATAAATTCATATAATCCACAATTATATTATAAAGAATTCATTTATATACATATGTTATATTTTATAAAAAAATAAATAAATAGACATAGTAATAAGACGAGCGCATATATCATTATGTTATTTATTATTTATGATTATGGATTATATTCAGAAAATTTAACACTTATTTCTTAATACGTTTTTAATTACGGACTAAAAATGAATAAACTTTTTTTTATATTTTCTGATATTAATTATGCAAAATTATACATTTATAGGATTCATTACATTATGTTGAAATAAAAAATATATTTTCTTGCATATTATGTGAATGTATGATATGTAGTAGTACTAATATTATAAAGGTATTTATCAGTATTAAGTATAGTTCATATAAGCTATAAAAATATTATATGTATACAGAATTTATATTATTATCGTACATACGTATAATTTTACGTTCGATAATTATATATATTACTTGTATGTAAAATGTATAATTAAAACATTTTAATATGCATCAAGTTACGTTATACGACAGTTAATGCGCTGTTTAGTTCTTATAAAGCACTAATTTTACTATATAATAAATTAAATTATCTGGTTTGTAAGTTCCTATTGAATGTAATATTTTGCTATATTACAAATCGTCCATTATTTTTTTTTATTCTAAATGATGTCATTTAAAATAAGCATTATAATATATGGAAAAATATATTATACTAAGAGGAAATATATTATTTTTCAGAATTTACATTCTATATAATTATTAGTCTATAATATTCATATAGAATTTTTTTTGACATTTCGCTTACAATATAATGAATAAACTTTTAATTCCTCCCCAATATAATTTTGCATAAATCGTTAATTAATTAGAATATTGATTAACCATGAATATGCTAAAAAATATATAACATGGGAAATAATATTACATTAGGATTTTCTTAACATTTATCAAAATATCTTTATGTGCAAAATGTAATTTATATAGCATTAAATATGAAAAAAAAATGATAAATATTTACTCAGATAAATCTTTAATGTCCTTAAATTAATTTTAATTATGTATAATATATATTTTTTATTTTTTATTATTTTAATATATAACATATATACGATTTATTCCAGCAATAAATAAGGGCTAAATCCACTCCCCTGATTTTACCATCAATATTAATATTTTTAGAATTGTAATATATAAGTTAATTAGACTTTGTTCATGTATCAAGAAATAATTTTATGAATTTATTATAATCAAAACATAACAAGGATACAAATAAATTTATTATCATATCAAATGTTTGATGTTTAGGAGCTAAGATAGTTTATATATAAAATATTTTTTCTGATTCATAATAAATAAAATAGAAAACATAATGCATATACAAAAGGTATTACCCAAGATATTACTTTATTTCGATAATATACAATCCACAAAGATGTGTTAAATATGAACATATATATTTAACGCAATAATATTATGTATGAAGTAGGTAAATAAATTTTCATTTATTTATTCGTAAGAAATAAATTCTTTTGTTACAATGCATTTTGTTAGATATAGATATATTTTTATTTTATTTAAAACTATATGTATCATAAAGATAATACATTTTTTATTAAATATAATTTAATATTTCTTATTGTATCATTCCTGTTCAGATATTCGTATGAAATGTTAAGAATTTATATGTTAAACTCCTTATTAAAATTATATTTATTTTCTCTTAAATTACATTTATAATTTAAATAGTAATTATTTAAGATAAAAAAATAAAATATACACAAATTTAATATATATATTTTATTAAGCTAAACTAAAACAAAAAAAATTTTGCATTATATTATAATCATGAATTATAATATAAATTAAATTTATAACTTACCTACTCAAAACAACATGTACATATATAGCATATTTAAAGAAATCATTGAATGTGGATATATAAATAAAAAAATGTATATTAGCATAAAGAATATTCACTAAATTATTACATGTATCATCTCATATTGATGTAACAATACACTCTTCATGTTAGCATAGAGGTTCTAAAAGGCTTCAGATTTCAAGGATCAAGATTTAGTATACAAAGTATAAATTTTATGGGATTTTTTACACAATTACATATATTTAAGTTATGTTGGAACCCAGAAAATTCATTGTATAGCGCTTTAGCATTACTTAAAAGGATTGGTAATGTATGTATGAATGAATTAAATATATTTACCTTTGCATTTTATTATAGCTAATTTAAAATAATTTATATTTAAATATTTCGTATATTTAATGTAAATATTATTATTCACGCTAATTATTAAATTTAATATCAATTTCATAGAATAATGAACTTATTATCTTTTTCTACAGAAAAATCTATTTAAAAATGTTAATATATTATTTACATTATTTTGAATGTTGTTTGCATATTTTATTAAATCATACACGCATTTCAACATTACTCATTATATATTTAACAAAATTTGTGGCAATATTTTATTCTTATATAGAATTTTTATTTATCCTTTTATTCTCAAAATTATATTGAGAATAAATTATACATTAATTCCATGTATTTGTTTCTGACTAAAAATATCAGAAGTATTCTATTAAAATTCATTAATATTAACAGTAATCACGTCTATTATGAAATATGTACATATAGTAATAAATTAATTATTTATAACGTATTATTTATTGTAAATAATATTCAGATTATTCAAATATTTGATGAATATAGAGCGTTATTTTCATAATTCATTATGATTTAGGTATTCATATATAATATTTTTTTTCTTTTAATGCCACAAGGAACATATAAATATTTACAAATTATTATATACTTATATAAAATAAAAGCAATAATAAGAAAAAATAATATAGAGAAATGGAAATAAAAAAGTATATACAAATAAGCAAAATAAGTGAATAAATAAACTATATATCTTATATTAAGCACTCGGATATTCTAACAAAATATTTGAGTCAATGAGTTCAATATATTTGTAGAAGATATATATGATAACTTAATTATGAGTATTATAGGAAAAGATATATATTTTTTTAATAAATTATTAATATATATACCAAAGAAGCATAATTTTTCTTTTCCTTAATATTATATAAAAATAATATTATAATAAATATGAAAACGATTTATATTAGTTGTTTATAGACATTATAAATTTTTGTAATTTTGATATATATTATCTATTTACCTATGCAGAGTATTTTTTACCAGGTTTTAAAGCATAATAATTTATAGTTTAAAAAACTTTTATTAGAACATCATACAGCATGACCAAACAAGGAAAGAATGATAATTATTTATAGTATTTTATTCATTCTTCATGTCTATAGCAAATACTATTTTTGTCATTCATGTTTTATTTATTATAAAGATGAACTTATTAGATCTAAAAATTAATGCTTTCCTGTATATTTTTTTTTATTACTGAACATACTTCATTCGTGTGCGAAATTATATAGAATGCAATTCTGCGTATAATGGGATTGATAAATTTATATTTATCTAAAATATATATTTTTAAAATTATACAATTAATATTAATAATATTCAGAATTATATAAAATATTATACTCTGTATTTGTTGACATGTTAAGTATTTTTGAATACTTGAATATACTATTTCCTTCATATACATTATCATGGATATTTTTTCTCCTTATTATTCTTTGGAGAAAATAAGAACCACATGTCGTGTACTGATAAAAAATTAAAGTATAAATTTGCAATAGTAATACAATTTTTTATATTACAAGTTCTATACTTTGTAAATTGTTTATAAATAATTATTTTATAATATAAAAACATATAAATAACATTCTAATTAACCTTATACTAAATAACTAAAAAAATAGATATTACTAACATCATAACAAATGGCATTAAAATAAAAACCTTTTTGTTATATTTTTGAAAAGAATGTAATGTGTGGAATTCAATATTTGAACAACTTAAAGTTCTAATTTTTTCATTATAACGATTTCTAAATTCTTCTAATGCCATACATAAATCATTATTTTTATTTAATTCACCTTATTCTTTGTATTTCATATATATATTGAACATTCTTTAGCGCTGTCGCTGTTGTTATCATTGGTATATTCATTATTTAATTTAATAAGTTTACAATTCATACCATATAAATCATGAAGTTTCCCCAATATATCTCCTGTAATTATTTCCTTGTAATCTTTGCATATTTCTTCGTCCAAATTTGCATATGCCTTCTAGAATTCAATATAAACTGTTTTTATATAGTTATTATGAGTTTTATTATAATTTTCCATATATATCCAATAATACAAGTATGCACAACGCTTGTCTAAAACTGTTCTATACTGATTTGATTTCGGATCACTTAAATAAGAAAAAGCTTTAGGACAATTATGTTTATAATAGTTATTATCAAAGCTACTATGTTGAATATTTTAAGAACAACAATATTCTTCCCCCATAGCGTGTTCACTAAAATTCCCAATTTTACTCTTTTCTTCATCAAAATAATTTGCGCTTTTATACCAATAAGAAAAAGGGAAAATATAACATAGGCTAACATGGTTTTATACATAAATAAATGTCACATTTAATAAAGTAAAAAAAAAATTATAAATACAAT